TTTCCGGTACCAATTTTTTTAAAAAGCACAGTGGTTTCCAAACCCTTTGGAAATGGAACTTTGAGCTTGCCTGCTGCAGCCTGTATGACCACATGGACCAGGCTGTGGCTCCACAGGCATGGAGGCATGGAAAGCTATCCTATTCTTGCCTCTGTTCCCCATGTGAACAGACCCATATCTCCCCCAGCTTCACCCTGCACACCCATCCTTGTGAGCATTGCAATGAAGGGAACACAAACCAAGCAGGGACATTTTGCCAGTGTGTATGGAGTTGGGGCTGTGGCAGGGCAGAGAGGGTAGGAAGCCCCAGGACTGGTTTCACCATGGCAATAAATGTAAAAAGGACCCACCTCATCACAGGTACCCAGAATTTCTTCCCTTACCTGAAGTGAGGTTTGCATGAATGTGAGAAAAAATCCTGTTGGATGTCTCTGAGCCCCTGCTAAAATCTAGTAATTTGAATAATTATATTGAAGACAAAGACAATGGAATTTACAGATTTCTGTCTTACATCCTAAAATAAATATGGCATTTTCCATTCCCAGTGGAGGTAGTAAGTACCTCCCTGCTCAAAATTTTCCTGCTGAGAACACTCTGGCCACATGTGATGGTGCTGCCCAGATACTCTGGCCCCTGGCCCCTTTCTCCTGGCCTCCCCAGGTTCAGACACATCAGTCCTGGGCCTTGTTTCCTCAAGCTTGGGTAGTGGGGCGTGAGCAGCTGAGTGCAGTGCCCAAAAAATCCCCAAAAGGACTGAGTGGGGACCTGCTGACTTCAGGCTACCAACAATACAGCCCACTCAAATGCATCTAATTTCCCAGTCACTGCTTCTTGCACACATGACCTGTTAAAGGGATTAAATTAAAAGAATTCCCAGAGCTAATCTAGTGATGATATGATGAGAGACAGGAGCTCAAGCACATCCCAGAGGTAAGTGATCGGGTTTCCTAGGATGTATTATTTATGGGGCCATCTGCTTTAGACAAGCATTGAAGTCTGAAGGGGAGGAGGATTTTGATGGAATTCACTCATTTAACTGGGACAGGATGATGGTGGAAGAGATTCTGTGGTTTCTCACCACTCTCACCACCCCTCTCCAAAAAATGATGCTGTAGTTATTTATGGAATAAAGCTGGCAGCAGGATACCTCTGTGTCAATGTCCTCAACAAAATGCTGCTGAGCTCTGAGAGCTCACGCATGTCCTCACAGAAGGGGCCATTCATAGCAAGGTCCATTAGCATAAGGGAGAGAGGTGCAAATGTGTTCCAGTCTGAGCCACTGGTCCTGTGAAAAATACAGGAGTACAAACAGAGTCATGACTGGAATGTGAGGAGGTAGGGGGGTGGCCATAAAGAGGCAGAGTTGGCAGGAGAACAGGAAGAATTTCCCCAAGATAAATGATTTAGTTACTATATAACTCAGTAGCTGCAGGATCTGTTTACAGCAATTACAGACAGCACAAAGCAAAATCACTAACATAAAAAAGGAAACTGTCTTTCTGATTCAGGCTGACATACTATTTAGATAATATGGATCAAGAAATGTGAAATAAAATATCTTAATGAATAGAATTCCCTTCTGTCCATCTCCTACAGTTCTAAAAGTAGCCACCTTCTGCTGACATTTCCCCATCACATGTGCATTATCAGATTTCAAAATATTGAAGCTTGCTTGGGGTAATGTCTAAGCCTTTCTTAGCATTCAGAAGTGAAAGTCCTGAAGGTCTCAAATCTTTGGTTGGGAAAGTTCTACTAAACCTTTACACAGAAATTTGCTGGAAGCTACCTGTCAGTTTGCTGCCCACTTTCCAGTAATTCAGACTAACGACTCGTCAACACCCCTTTTTTTCTTGCCTTTTGCATCTGTCTAGAAGGAGCTTTCTGCTCCAGTTACTGGTTTAATAACGCAAGGCTGTGTACCGAGGCAAAATTGTCACCCAGTCTTACTTGATTTGTCTCATGACTGTTTTCTTAATCCTTATTTTTTAGTGTTTGAAAAACATTATCTGAGCAACTAGTTCTAAAGATATAAAGATTTGTACTTCTGAATTGGGGTATTGCTTCAGAGCTGTTCTTCTGGACACTGGGTTTATGCAGGAAAGTTTTGATTGCAAAAAATGCAGTCTTTCTCTATAAGAAATGTGGCTGTGAACAACAGAAATCCTTTTACGAGTTTTTGCTCAGCTGAAATTTGGGTTTCTGTATTATGGAAGGTTTGTCCCAGAGTTGCTACCTATCAGCATTTTACCAGACAGACAGGGGATTAGACTTCTGTCTGATAGGTGATTTGTTGTATCATCTGTGTGCTGAAGGTTCAGGCTGGGAAATGCAGCCTGCAGAAGGAGCCTGGATTTGGCCATTTGGCAGGATTGTTCTTGCTCATGAGCTTCACTGAGGTGCCTTTCTGGTGTAGTTGCAATCTCACTTCGCCCTTGGCAGTGGCACACTGGGGCATCATCAGGCACTTCTGGCTGGAGGACAGTCGTGGATCATCATGGATCATCATGGATCATGACAGCCAGGAAGAGGGAGCAGCAAAGCTCCCCCACGTATGGCCTTCAGCCACAAGAGTAACATCACCTCCACGAGGGCCTGTGACAGAGGGCTGGGTGCCCTCAGCATCCCCTGCTCTGTGGCACCTGGGCAGTGAGGGCCAGGGTGCTATGAGCTGCATGTGTGCAGCAGATGGAGTCACATGAAACCCCCTCCATGGGCAATGCAGGTATGTGTCCCTTGCATACTGCCAAACATCCGTGGAGGCAACTCCTTGGCATGTGCTTCAGTCTCTAAATAGCCAGCAAGGTGTGTGCAGACAGAAACCTGCATGAAGGTGAGTCCTTGGGGACAAGCAAAGAACATGCACTCTCTTCTTGATGCTAAAGTTGGAGTCAGCAAGGTGATAAAAAGCAATCAAACCACTGGAGTCCCGTTTTGTTCCCGTTGCTGTAAAAATAATACTAGTGGCAGATTTGTCTCTCCACCTCCCAGCCCAAAATAGTCCCAAGGACTGGATTTCTCTCCCAGATTACTCTGGTTGGCAGCCCTTCACCTACTTCAGGGAAATGACTCACAGAAGACAAGACCTTCGGGCCGGATGGAGGGACAGGTATTTTAAAGCCCTTACAGGACAACATACTGGAGGGATTTGTCATGTGGGTGGCTTTTGACATCTCTGCAGAGACTTCTTCATTTTCCAGGAAGACAGGCTGAAATGTTATGAGAGCTTCTTAAGGAATGCCTACAGCAAGCAGTCCCCCCTGTGTGCTGGTACAGCCCTTATCACAAAGGGTCTTGCAGCTGCCTCTGTGCAGTTAAAGCAGGGTTAGTTACTGCTGGGTTAGTTTTTGCTGGATTATTCTTCTGCCAGATTATTCTTCTGGTGATTTAGTGAGTTAAACTGTGTGGGTGAAGATGTGATGTTGGAGTCAAGGTTGTATAGGTGGTGAGAGTAGCTTCTGGAAGGGATGGAGGGAGAAGAGAGGCTCTTCCTGGGGGTGAGATATCCCAGTGTGTCTCAGTCTCACCTGACTTGGCTCTCAGCATTGCATGGTGTTTTCTTGTCCCCTGTGTCTCATCCAGTCAGTAGGAGGGTGAATCAGGAGATCAAGCAAAATGATGGGAAGGTTGTTTCTCTCTTTTCCCTTGGGGTATTTGCTGCCAAAGCTGCTTCCCTGATCTGGACCACTGCACGACTCTGTGAAGGGCCATGTGGGCAGAGACAGTAATATGGGGAAAAGCAGGGCAGAGTTTGCTTAACCCACCTTTGCTGTTAAAAAAGCATTCACCACATCGGAGATTCACACAGATCAGTCCTGAAGCTAATTTTTATTTTTCTAAGAAGACATCTCCTTGAGTAAGCACTGATATTTTCTGTGGAGTCAGCAAATAAAAGAAAAGGCTTTTGGTGGCTTCCAGGTGCTGTTCCTTTAGGCTTAAAAATCTGTGCCAGGTGGACTGGGTTTTGCTAAGTCAACAGCAAGCCCCAGTGGTGGTGCTTTTGAAGTCTGCATGATCATGTTATTTCCAAGTGGTGGCAGTAAGTGAAGCCTCTTTTCCCAGTACTCCTACATGAAGGTGGACATGTGGCTGGCTGCCTGGAGGTGAGCCCCATGTGCAGTGTCTGGGCCCTCATGGGCTGCTTACAGCTGCTTTGCCACTGTGTGTCCAGGTATGCCCCATGAGCAGGAATATTCCCCCTGATGTGGCCAGACATCCTGAAGTATGATCCAAAGGGTACATCCATTTCCACTGGATGTCTGGATATTTATCTTAGCCATTCTGGCACTAAAAATACGTAACATGCCTCCAAAATACAGCTGTAACTGCATAAAGTGTTTCTTTAAATTTCCTTAGGCCATTTGGAACATTACTGGGATATTCCACTGAAAAAAGGAGATTTTTAATACACAAATGCCACACTCATTGACTGTTCCTCGTAAGCTAGATATTCAGATAAATTAATTTGATATTATTGATGTCCATCTTGCTTATTCCTCCTGGATCATCCATAACAAGAAGTTGAAACTGCTGCACTTGTGGTAAAACACAGTTTTCTGCCACATCCTCGTGTAGTTTTGAGCACAGTGAGTGTTTACCAGGAAAATGGGCCTTTATGAAGCCCAGCCTTGTTCCCTGCAGTAAGGGGAGCCTGCTGGTCATGCCTTTGGCCTCTGGCCTTTCTGCTGACCCCCGGTGTGCTGTCCCTCCTGTGTCTCAGCTCTGCTGTACCAACGCATACTGGTTCCCAGCACCTGAAAGGAATTAAAGATCACTAAAATGCTCCCTGGAGCTGGGCTCCCGTCCTACAGTACAGCTGACACAAAAGCCGAAATTCCTTTCACATGAGAACATGGGTACATCTGCTTGCAATCATCTTCCTCCAGGCAGCCGGCCTGATCAAGGAGAAATGTGATTCTCCACACTTGGTCCAAGGAGTGCTGGGTAGACGCCTCCAGCCAAGGGGCTGGGATTTGGGAGAAGCAGAATAAACGCGCCTTTCACGCCCGGCATCCCCACCAGTCCCGTGGCTCCCGTGCTCCCAGCCTCGGTCGCTTCTTGCCCTGCTTGCAGGAGGCAAGGCATGCTGAAATAAAGAGAAACTTGTTCTGTGGCAGGAAAAGTCGTTTCTTCTGGCCAGGCATTCCCATCCTGGGAAGGAGACAGGAAGCATATTGCATTAAAGGTAAACTGATAAAATATTTGTATGCTGGAAGAAGGGGAGGAATGTCAAAAACGTGTCAGTGTTCTTTAGAAAAAATTATTGTGGTGTCTTACTCCTTCCCAGCTGTGGGGTGTCATAAAGAAATGTTTTAGCCTTCAGTGATCTGTAGCCTCATGCAGGGCATTTTCCTTGCTGGAAGGATGCTCTTTGTCTGTCTGTGCATGCCTGTGTGTGTACGCACCGGGGTGTGAATGCGCGCTCTGCAGCAAATGACCAAAAGTATTAGAAGTGAGTGGACTGATGTACCCATAGAGGGGATATTAGCAGAGTGTCTGGGAAATCTAATGTTTGTTTGTTATTACTTTCTTTGTTGCAGCTGACCAATGAGAAAACATCTAAAAAAATCACTTTGATTTTTTTCATTTGATGAAATGTGCAGTTTGTAATACAGATGTCTTATGTTTTGTGTACTTCTCTATATTTGTCACATTCCATGTTAAAACTTGCTTTTCATGCTGCTACACAAGAGGACTGAAGAAGTAATTTATAGGTACAATTAAGAATGCCATGTTTGGGGAATAAAGGGAGAGTATTTGCAACAAAAGCAAGCTTGACAATTGAGTGGTTCGGCTTCACTGTGATTCCTAAAAGCAAGCTGAAGGCAGTAGCCAGAGTGTACTTTTACTCTTCAAATCTGACCATCAGTTAATATGTTTGCCTCACCTCCTCAGGCTGGATTTTGCTCATAGTCCAGATAGCCTGAAGACTTGAGGCAGGTTTGCAGAAGACATTAAAAACTCAGTGATGCAGCTGTAGCTGCAGTGCTCCAAGGGCACATGTGTCCCAACCCAGCCACAGCATCCCTACAGCTGGACTGATTAAAATGGTCAGAAGTGACAGCTCACCACAGTCCTGCAGGAAAATGCTGTGCTGCAGGCAGGGCAAGAGGACCTGGAGAAAGGCAGCCTGCTCTGTGTGTGCTGTTTGGATGCATGTGGCTAAATCAGGCATGGGCTGCTCCTAAACTCTTTGAACTGAACTCATGCTAAGACCTCCTAAGGCCTTGGTTTCAGCCAAGCTGTATTCTTGGCCTCAAACAAGTGCCTAATAAAGACCATTCCCATGAATAAGTCTTACTTTGGACTTTTTTAAGAATCTGTCTTGTTTAGGGAAGTTTTGGTAGGGTGGAAGAGCACCATCCCTTAACAAGTGCAGAGAACAGTGATGGGCAGATAATGTTTTAAAAAAAAATGGCATGCAGAGGTTCTGCATATTTTACCATTGCAATTTATTCACATACATTCATGTATACCTGTAGAGTTTTAAGGTGACTGTAGAATGATCTGTGCTAGAACATGAAAATTCAAAGGGAGATATCTGTCATTAAAAACAATAGGAAAAAACATTTATTTAGCACAGGCTGAAATACAGAAATGCTTGCGTGCTGTGTTTGGCTTGATTTACTATAGGGAAGACTTACTGATATAAAGAAGCACTGTCTGTAAAACACTGTGTGGGGTCTGCTGTTTTCTGGAGCTTCTCACGTGAATGTTCATTTGTGTGTTCCAACACATTGACATTCTGTAATAAATCCACCATGGCATTTTTAAAGGCCTCATACTCAATGTATTTTTTAAATATGGCTTCATTCCCTGTGAATACTAATGTGGATATATAGAGATGAGAAGCTTTCCGATGACAGACAGATGGGATGCCTTTAAGGCTGTGTCAGTGGCCTCTGAAAATATTGATTGCCAAGTGTGGTTACTGAGAAAAGATGCTGAGACCTTTGGAATTGAGCAGTTAACAGCGTGTGCATCATACTTGGATTTTCAGTTATAGGAAGGATAAGCCCTTACGTCAGTCCTTCCCTGTGGCAGCCATTAAATCTGGTGGCTGGGTCTCAGTGTAGCTATGGAAGATGCACATCTGTGTTCCTTTGCACATCTGTGTTCCTTTGCTGTGCTTACAGAGAATATTCTTACCACTCACCACACAGATTCCATCCTCAGCAGGAGGATGTTTTCTCATTCTAGGCAGGAGGCACAAGCACAAGTCTTTAACTTTGAGGAGTAAATGGAATTTGTCAAGGCCTTGTAAAATCACTCTTGCCTGTTGGCCTTTCTAATGTTACACCAGTGCCCTTTGCCTCCTCTGCTTCTTACAGTAGCCTCTCTGTTCCTTGTAGTGTTGTCATCAGCCACCAACCTTTTTCAGATATTGCCTGAAGCCACTGCTGAGCAATTGATGGGAAAACAATATTGGTTATGTTGGAGGAAAGCTGGCTTCAGCTGCATTTTTGTATAAATTTGGAGAAATCCAAGTGACTTGTGAATGCACAAACTCTACACTACCACCTGTCTGCTCCTTCCTTTCATATCCAAGAGAGATGCATTGATTTTAAGGCTAGATGACATCACTCTGGGCTGACCACATGCATAATTCAGGTCCTCTGACATCCCTGTATAAAGTCATATTTCAGGATCAGAAGAGTACCTGTGACAGAGACTGTCTTTTGACAAGAAGAAAACCTCTCCTTGGTTAAGAAAGATCCACATAGCCCAAGACAATTCTTTAGAAGTTGTTCTCGTATTGTTAACATTCATCTGATGTTTCCCCTTAGACTCTGAGCCCATTACACATCCAATTAGGTTAAAACTGCTTCAAAAGGGAGGCTGCTCCACTACCTGCACATACATTGTCCATGCACAGAATTCAAATGTCAGTAAGCAAAATACATATGCTTCGTAAGTGTAGTTGTTCTTGTCATAAACTCAGCCTCAGATCATTTGGGATAATTTGTTCCTGAAGCTGCCTATATGATAGGGAAAGGGAATAGCAAGATACATTTTCCAACATATTTGCTATGCAGAAAATGTGCTCAGATCTTTGATTAATATTCCTAGTTTGTATGGTTTATTTATTTACATATAAGAGTTTAGTCCTCTGTAATGAGAGCTTACTTTTAAATGAAAATATGTGATATTTAAGAGGAGATTGGAGAAGAATAGGAGAGAGGGATGAACTAATAAGAGTTGGAATTTGTTCATAATGAAACCAAAATGAAGGTATTTTGTCAGCCTTTGTTTTAATCTGTTTCTTTTTTTAGTCTTGCCTGGAGTTGCCTGTGTGCTCGCAGGGAAATCAATCTGTGCCTTGGGTGGTGGGATCTCTCCAAGGCTAGGGACACTGATGGATTGTTTCATATATTGAGACTGTAGGTTTGATAGGAATTCTATAGCAATGGTGACAGCAGTGGAGATTTGAGGGTTTTGGCTTCTTTACTAAAATACATACCTTAGAATATTCGTTCTTTCTTATCAGAAGGAACACATATTCTCTCCACTCTGTATTTCTCTCTTCCTTCTGCTATGTATTTCTCATCTCTTTTGTGTATTTCTCTCCTTCCTCTTCAAATATCTCAGTATACATTGTTTTAAGTACAAAATAGAATTAGTAAGCCATGTAAGATTAGTATTATTGAAAAACTTTTCCATAGACACATTTAGTGGCTTTGTAATGATTCAGTGATTTGGTTGTATTTGGTGCTCTTTTTTTAAAGTGTAAAATAATTTTTCACGACATGGCCATCTCAAACCCCATGACAAAAATTTCATATGAAATAATCAGGGTAAAGGATTGGCTTTACTAAACCCAAGGACAACTATTATATTTAAATTAGCAGAACTACAACTTTCCTTATCCAAATGCCTACATTTTGCAGAGCAGCTGGTCAGGCCCAGTTTCTGAAAATTGTGCTCCCATGATGGGTATGGTGTTCTTCAAAGCATGACTGATCTGTCATTTTCTCTTAATTGAAAAAAAAAAAAAATCAAACAAACCAAACAGCAGAAAGCTTCCTATCTGCTCTTATCTCCTCCCTGCTGTACAGCAAAGCATTAGAGTCATGATCCCTGGAGGTTTTTAAAAGAGGCATGGATTTGGCACTTAGAGACATGGTTTAGTGGTGGACTCAACAGTGGAAGGCTCGTTTTTGGACTACATAATCTTAAAGGTCTTTCCCTACTCAATGTTTCTATGATACAATGATCTTGCCATGTCTGGTTAACAAGTGATTATCAACAACAGAAATTCAGAAAACAGAACTTCTTCACAGAAAGGGTAACAACATCGGAATGGACTCCCTGTGGAGATGGTGGAGTCACCATCCCTGGAATTGTTCAAGAAACAACTGGACATGGCACTCCATGACACTGCTATGGTTTAATTGACCATGTGATGATTGGTCAGTGGTTGGACTTGTTGACTTTGGAGGTCTTTTCCAGCCTAATGAGTCTATGTGATTACCAGCATCAAAGTTATATTGCTGACCCTACATCTACATTGATCAACATCAAAATTAACAGTTTAAGTGACCATCTTCAAGAAGATTTTTCTATTTCAGTTATAAGTTAGTAAAAATGAACAGTCTAATACCACGGTGTGGCCTCCCCCAAAATATCATAGAGTCATTACTATGCCAGTGCCATTTCTGTAAGGTAAAATAAATCCTCAAAGGTTTATCTGTGTGTTTACTCACTGCTTTACGGCTAAACCCTAACCTGGATGTGAGAGAAAGAGATTGGTGACATCAGGGCATCAGGGCATTCAGTTCAGGTCCTCCCCAGTTCCAAATACCATTCAGGAATATGTACTACACTTGCAGCCCATTTTAACAAATAATTACCAGGTAAAAGCATCTTTGAATTGTAGCCATTAGGTAATACATTACCTAATAAAAAGGCAGTCACTGTCCTTCTCTCAGGAACAGTACTTCAGGTCTGCCATGAAGGATGTGAAAATGTGTATAACCAGAACAAATTTCTTCAAAGCAAAAATCACTGCGGTCCTCTCTAAAATAAAAAAGGAGTCAGACACAAAGATTTGTAATGGCAGATCTTGAGAGAGGAGGAGGCGAAAGAATTTTGTGTTGGTTTTGGTAAAGGTATGTGATTGAACTGCTCATTCCCACTTGAAGAATTACATGCTCAGAATTCCTCTCTCTGAAGCTGATTAACTTT